CAGTAGATTATTTTTAGACAATGAATTTTCTTCTGTGGACATGGTGAATTGTTATGTACCGTATCCTAATAATACAGCAATCATTTGAGAGAAAAAATATTCATTTCCATGGACAAGTATAAGGTGACTTGTGTTTTTTTCCTTTTTTTTTTTTTTTAAGACAAGATCTTGCTCTGTCACCCAGGCTGGAGTGCAGTGGCACTCTGACCCTGGGCTTAAGCGATTCTCCCACCTCAGTCTCCTGAGTAGCTGAGACCACAGGTGCACACCGCCACACCCAGCTATTATTTTTTTGCATTAGGGACAAGGTCTTGCCATGTTGGCCAAGCTGGTCTCAAATTCCTGAGCTCAAGCAATCCTACCACCTTGGCCTCTCAAAGTTCTGGGATTAAAGGTGTGAGCCACTGTGCCCAGCTGTTCTGGGGTTTTACTGTCACCCAGGATGGAGTGTAGTGGTGTGATCACTGCTCACTGTAGCCACAAACTCTTGGGCTCAAGCAATCCTCCCATGTCAGCCTCTGGAGTAGCTGGGACTAAAGACATGTACCACCACGCCTGGTTTGACTTGTTTTATTATCATACCACACCAAAAAGCACAATGTTAAGCACACAATGTATCCTAAAAATATGACTGCTTAGCATAAAAAGCGTTCATCATGCTTAAATATAATGTGATCAAATAAATAAATTTAACTGCTTACCAAATATCAAATACACTTAAAAAAAAGCCTCATCTAAAATTATACTTACCATTCTTGCTGCTGGATGTAATACTTGCATTTGTTTCAGAATGGTAGCACCATCATTTGTAATGGTTACATCACCTTTTCCATCTTGAATCTAGAAAATATTTTAAGTTATATTTCAATGTGACACATTAACAGTTTTACTAAACTTTTATATTTCAAAATAGAAAAGTTAATTTCTATTTGCATGACACTTAATTTTGAATTATCTTCCCTTACATTAGCATGATAATTTAAGAATATGTAGTAACAGTCCAACTTTACAAAAGAAAAAACTGGCTTTGTTGCAGAGTAATCTAAAAGTGAAGAAATGTAGACATACACAAAAGAAAAAAAAAGAGAAAGGACATTACAAAGAAGCACCTGCTACCTTTAATAATTTCTCATCAATCAGAAACACGATTTCTACCACAGATGCCCTAAAGGAGCACCATGCAATGCAATGAACACATTTCTTTTTTTTTTGAGATGGCGTTTTGCTCTTGTTACCCAGGCTGGAGTGCAATGGTGCGATCTCGGCTCACCGCAACCTTCGCCTCCTGGGTTCAGGCAATTTTCCTGCCTCAGCCTCCGGAGTAGCAGGGATTACAGGCACGCGCCACCATGCCCAGCTAATTTTTTGTATTTTTAGTAGAGACCGGGTTTCACCATGTTGACCAGGATGGTCTTGATCTCTCGACCTCGTGATCCACCCACCTCAGCCTCCCAAAGTGCTGGGATTACAGGCGTGAGCCACCGCGCCCAGCCAATAACACATTTCTTATAGACAACACAGACACTTTTTTCCTTTTTTTGTCCTAGAAAAAGGACAATGGCATTCTGAGGAAAGAATGATTTTCGAATATCCAGAGAGGAGAATAATCTGTTTATCATCCAGATGATCCCCCATATTGTTGTATCTCCCAGAGACCCACATTAGCATACAAAGTTACATCCATAAGGGACACTAAACTGAAGCCCTAACACCTGAATTTATACTCTTCACTTAACTACGTAATAGATAACTATATTTGGGTATGCACTCTCATTGTTTAAAAAGAATTAAACAAAATATGAATTTTAGTTTAGTCCTGCTGACTCCGAAGCAATCTCTCCTTCCGCTCAACTTCAGGTACTCAACGCTTTTTACTTTTTAAACAGCACATCTAACTCTCCATCATAATTTTGTAGTGTGAACATCAGTGCTCAATTAGCATTCAATAACACAATTCTTTACCATTTTATCCATTCCTTTTGGTCCAAGGCTTGTTCTAATAGCATCAGCAACCGCTGCAGATGGGGGGGAAAAAAAAGAAATTAGGACTTTTTTTTTAAGAGACAGGGTCTTACTATGCTGCCCAATGGCCTCAAACTCCTGGGCTCAAACAACCCTCCCAGGACGGAGCCTCAGCTTCCCGGAATAGCCGGGAGTATGGGAAGTCAAGTCTCCTTAAAGAACAGAGTAAAATTTCTCTCAAATGATCACTGTGTTCTTATTAGGATATGGTGCATAACAAATTGTGATGTCCACAGAAGAAAATTCATTGTCTACAAATAATCTACAGGGTAATTTTTTGTGTCTTTTAAATTACGTGTCACTTTATTGTTAGTGAATGTACACAGTATTAATATTTGTAATCAGATTATGCCAGAATACATTGTGAGGATTAATCTCATCTTCCCTTAGATGTCAAAATAGTACAGTCTAGTTAGGAGCTCTGAGAATTGCTATTTCCTAGATTCCTCAGAACAGGATAAGCAGCAACAGGACTATCTAGATCTAAGATATTGATGGATGAGTATCCTTTTTCCAAAATGATTAGGATCGGAGCGTTTTAAATGTTGGATTATTTCAAATTAGGAATGCTCAATTTACATGTAATTCACTTGTTTACTCTGTCTAGTGTGTAATCTTTGAGAGTAAAGACTTTTGTTTTGTTCACTAATGTGAACATAGTATATAGGTGGCCTACACAACAAAAATTAACAACACCGCCAAAAGGACAAACCACAATGGAAATGCTATAGAGCAAGATACTCTTTAAAACACCAACAAGGTTGGAAGAGGTGGCTCATGCCTGTAATCCCACCACTTTGGGAGGCTGAGGCCGGCAGACCACCTGAGGCCAGAAGTTCGAGACCAGCCTGGACAACATGGCGAAACTCCCTCTCTAACGAAGATACAAAAATCAGCCAGGCATGGCGGCGGGCATCTGTAGTCCCAGATACACAGGAGGCTGAGGCAGAAGAATTGCTTGAACCCAGGAGGTGGATGTTTCAGTGAGCAGAGATCAAGCCACTGCACTCCAGCCTGTGAGACAGAGTGAGACTCCATCTCAACAAACCAACAAAATGCAAAACTCTCACATCAAAGCTTTTGGTCATCATCAGTATGTTATAAAACATCTGGCCGAGGACGGTGGCTGAAGCCTGTAATCACAGCACTTTGGGAGGCCGAAGTGGGCGATTACTTGAGGCTAGGAGTTCAAGATACAAGGGGGTCATCTTCACGAATATAGGTGGCCTTTCCTTCCCACATGCACACGCACACCCTTCTCTGTTGTTTCATTTCTCAGTCCACTTTTGTTTCAAAGGTTACTAAATTTCCCACTTCTTGTTTGTTGAATATCAGCCATATTATAAACTCTCTTGGCCCCAAAATTTATCTTTCAATATTCTGTTCCTAATCTAATAAATTTAAGCTTCAACTATGGACCCTAGACAATTAATCCTACACCTTCGTTTCCAGGTGTATTATCTCCCGAACTTCCAAATGACTCCTAAATCTGGCCATTCTGAACTTTCCAATTCATTAGGCTCAAGTTACCTTTTCTTCCATCCAGCCTACCTATCTTAGCATCATCATATTCCCAGTTACTTGGGCTGATGACTGCAAATACTTGTAAGGTGTACTTTATATACATGGGTCTTTATATACTTCCTGAATCCTCACAGCAACACTACACGTTGACGACAAAGAAATGATCTGAGGGAGATTAAACCAAATATTTTCCAGGACACCAGGCCTTTAAGATCTGACCCCAACCTACCTTTCTAATCTCGCCTCTTCTGTAAACAGTATTCTCCAACCCAAAAGAAATACCATACTCAATATACATTCTGGCAAGATCTCTAAGCCTCTGTCCTGATTTTTCCTTCCAGATTTTTCAATCAACTCGATTTATTTTAATCTTAACTCTAAAAAGCAAACATTTTCCTCCTCAATTTTATAGGTAAGAAATCTTTGGCACAGAGATTACACGTCACTTAAGACATGAAGTAATGGAAAGAGAATGAAACGCTGCTCTTCCTGATTTCCAAAGTGTGCCACACGCTTCTACGAAAAAACAATTGTTGCTTAATTTGCCTATATCTGACTGCACATGCAGAGACGACAAATAAGCACATAACTTTCCGCAACTATGTCCAAAGATACTTACGTCCGTTCCTCCATCCCAGTACAATGAGCCACGCCCCAATTTAGACGCGGAGAGTTTACCCAATTCACCAGTGGTGCCAATAGAAATTTATTTGATAGCTCTTTAAATAAGAATAAGAAAGCTAAAAGATACTGTGCATTCTACCAGCTCCCATAGGCAGATAAGCGTCGGAACCCTAGGGAAGGCTGCATGCAATTCTCGGCATTTTCAACTGCTTTTGGCTCCAATATGAAAGACGCACAAGGCAGAATGACACACTATAGGAGATTAAGATGCAAAATGAGTCGAGTCCAAAGACCTCCATACTCCAGGTCGGCAATCATCGGCAGAAAATCAGAAATAAGAATCCCTCCACTGGGCTGCTTCTACTGGGAGGACAAGAGGGGATCACCCGAAGGAATGGGAAATGAGCCAAACCCGCGCAAGAAAGCGCAGAGCACGACCCCTCGGCGCCGCGGGTCAGGCCATGAGAGTGATACCTTTGGCGGCGGAAATGTTGCTGAAGCGGATCTGGGCTGGCTTATCGCGGTCCTGATAGGCGCCCTTCCCGCGGCCGCCGGCAGCCCCGGCAGGCGCCCCACTCCGGGGTGCCACATTCTCAGGCATGGCAAACTCGGCTGGGTCTGCGTGGGCTCGGGAAGGACGGATGGACCCGGATTCTGACCGGCCACAAAGTAATGGGAAGCGCCTACTGCCTTCACGAAGCTTCCAGAAAGCGGCTCCGGCGTCAGGAAAAAAGCGGAGGCGGAGAAAGGGGCCTTCTTTGCGTCATGGCGCTGGCGTGACGTAGGAGGCTGTCTCCTGCGCGCCGGGTGAGGTGGATGAGTGCGGGGTGCTCCGGGCTGGTGAGGAGCTCCGGGCTGGTGAGGAGCTCCAGACTGGCGAGGTTGTCCGCCTGGGGCGCTGGGGATGAAGAGCACTGGGGGCGACTTTACGCGAGGCAGCAATGACGACGCGTGATTTTAAAGGCGAGTGCTGAGGACACCCGCATTTCCTCACCGCACTTTGGACGGCTGTGAGGTCCCCTCCATTTTTCTCTCTCTTTTTTTTTCAGACGCAGTCTCTCTTGCCGCCCAGGCTGGAGTGCAGTTCCTCGATTTCGGCTCACTGCAACCTCAGCCTCCTGGGTTCAAGCTGTTCTCCTGCCTCAGCCTTCCAAGTAGCTGGGATTACAGGCACACGCCACCACCCCCAGCTGATTTTTGTATTTTTAGTAGAGTCGGGATTTTACTATGTTAGCCAGGCTGGTCTCGAACTCGTAACGTCAGGTGATCCACCAGCCTTGGCCTCCCAAAGTGCTGGATTACAGGCGTGAGCCACTGCGCCCGACTTTTTTTTAAAACCAGGATCTCACTCTGTTTACCCAGACTGGAGTGCAGTGGAGTGTGTTTAATAGTGCTGTTTCTTTCTGCTTGCCGCCCTTTCAGTTACGCTTTTTCACCAACCATTCTCTGCAACTTCTTTAGGTACATGTAAAACAATCTAGTTTGTCTCTAAGTTTGGTTTACTTGAAGCCATGGAAGCAACTCTGAATTTGCCTTTTAGGAAATTATTTTAGGAAAAGAAATATATTTTTTGTCATAAAGAACACCTCTGGCCAGGCATCGTGGCTCATGCCTGTAATCCCAGTACTTTGTGGGGCCGAGATGGGCAGATCACCTGAGGTCAGGAATTTGAGATTAGCCTGGCCAACATGGTGAAACCCCATTTCTACGAAAAATACAAAAAGTAGCTGGGCATGGTGGTGCATGCCTGTAATCCCAGCTACTTGGGAGGCTGGGGCAGGAGAATCACTTGAATTTGGGAGGTGGAGATTGCAGTGAGCTGAGATTATGCCACTGCACTTCAGCCCAGGCAACAGAGTGAGACTTTGTCTCAAAAAGAAAAGGCAAAACAACAAAAAACAAAACATCTTTACTGGATAAACATATTAATTAAAGCAGTCTAGATGAGTAGATTCTCAACGGTGTGGCACTGCCTTGAAAGTGTTATTTCAGTTGTCACTTTGTTTCTTTGAGACAGAGTTTTGCTCTTGTCCCCCAGGCTGGAGTGTAGTGGCAGGATCTCTGCTCACTGCAACCTCTGCTTCCTGGGGTTTAAGCGATTCTCCTGCCTCAGCCTCTTGAGTAGCTGGAAGTACAGCCATGTGCTACCATGAAATACCATGAAAAATAATTTTTGTATTTTCAGTAGAGATGGGGTTTCACCATGTTGGCCAGGCTGGTCTTGATCTCCCAACCTCAGGTGATCCACCCTCCTCGGCCTTCCAAAGAGCTGGGATTATACATGTGAGCCCTGTGACTGACCTCAGTTGTCACTTTGAAGGAAGGGTAGGAATGGCATAGGTGGGAGAGAGGTCAGAAATATAAGACATCTTCCCATGCAGGGTACATTCATAAAGGTGAAAACATGTTTGCTATTATCTAAGCCTAAAATCAAACTCAATTTTATATATAAACATAATGTCTTTTTAGTTTAGCATTAATATATACAGAACATTCTAGCTTTGCCATGGTGTAGAGTGAGGGAAGAATGTTTTTTCTTGTAAACTTTACCAACTGTTAGTTACATTTCAGAGCATCATGTTACCAGAAGCAACTGTTCTCCGTCTGGAGTCACCAATACCACACACCTGTATCAGTTTGCATTTGTAGGAGTCATAGGTGATTCTGCATAAAGATGTAAACATACATTCATCTAGCTACTTTATGTGCCTTTTAGTCAACTAGTATACGTGTACACATATTATATTATAAAATTATTTTCCTTTTAGTTCTATGCTAAATTACAATTGGGTCATTGAATTGAGATATTCACATACCGTGAAACTAATCTTTTAAAGTGTACACTTCAGTGGGTTTTAATATATTCACAAAGTTGTGCAACCATCACCACTATCCACTTCCAGAATGTTTTCATCATGCCCCAAAGAAACTCTCTATCTATGAACAGTCACTTCTGATTCGCCCCTCGAGATTCTGGCAACTATTACATTACTTTCAGTCTCCATCAATTTGTCTATCTTGGACATTTCTTATAAATGAGATGTCCAATATTTGGCCCTTTATGTCTGGCTTCTTTTACTTACCCTGCTTTGAAGTCTCATGCATGTTGTAGCAGGTATGAGTACTTTATTCCATTTTTATGGTTGAATAATATATTGATTTTTTGAAATTATGTGGGTGGGAAGTTATTTTATCTATGCATTTTATTTCAGGATAGTAAAGGAGGTGTTAACAAAATATTTGTAATATAAAAGAACATTGGATCAGAGCTACTGATCTAGCTGGAAGGACAAGACAGGTGTATATAAAAAGGCAATTAACAACCCAAACAAAAACATGCAATCAGGAGGCAGTTAAATTTTCTAGGACAAAAGACGATAGGTAAGGATTAGGCAGAGATTAAATCTGAGTGATCGATCCTATTCAGTTATGAGTTGGCAAAGCCTGGAATGAGATACAGCCATCCAAAAGTTAAACTACCAACCTTATAGGATGCTACCCCATCTCCAGTAATTTCCACTGAGAGATCTTTCTTTCCAGTAGGCTCTGCAGTGATGAAGCGGATCAGAGGAAGCAAAGTGATCCTAGTGGAACCAAACGGATATTTCCGTGGAGGAGTCCTAAGGGGATGGATTTTGCAGAGCAAAGCTGTAAGCTGCCAACTCTGACTTCTGAGGAAGCCTTACCTCCACGTTCCCCGTGGTGCTTTTGCACAGGCTATTTAGGCACATCTCGGCCGCCGTGGCGGGGCAAGGCTCAGCTGTTGTGGGGGGCGGGGCCTTCGCAGAGCATGGCGGCGGGCGAGTTTGAGGGCGGCAAGCCCCTGAACGGGCTGCTGAATGCGCTGGCGCAGGAGACTTTCCACGGGCACCCCGGCATCACAGAGGAGCTGCTGCGGAGTCAGCTGTATCCAGAGGTGCTACCCGAGGAGTTCCGCCCCTTTCTGGCAAAGATGAGGGGGATTCTTAAGGTACTGCTCTTCCCTGTAGTCTCCGGCTTGGAGCACAGACCCTTTACCGCCGGCGTCAGACTCGCTCCATTCGCCTTCCCCTGTCCTCAAGCTGAAAGGCCTTTCCTTCACAGACCTCTACTCCTTGGGCTCCACATTGCGCTCCTTCAGATTATCTCGCTCCGTCGCCCCTTCTCACTTTCCTAAGGGTGTCGTTTTTCTGCTGAAGTTCCCAGCCCCTGGGTCGGACTGACTGACACGGAGGTTTTTCCTTCAAGTCATCTCGCATTCTCTGTCTCTTGGTAACAGTCGAGTTTCCTCAGCAGATCTGTGGGCTCTTGAATTTTTAAAATTAAGAGTTTTAGGTCGCCAGCTTTCCCGGGTTGTGGAAGTTGGGAGCGTTAAAGTGAGCCAGTGTCCGGCGGATAAGGGGGTGGCTTAGCCTTAGTCAAGCAGTTCACTGCACGGTTAAGAGAGCATATTTACCAGCTTGAGGCCAAAGTATAGGCTAGACCATCCGGTAGAAATATGTGAGCCAAGAAGGTGAAATTAATTTTAATAATATATCTTATTTAACCTAGAATATCCAAAGTATTATCACTTCACATGTAATCAGTATATAGAATCTTGACAAAGTTTTCTTACTTTTTTCACCAGGTCTTTGAAATCCAGTATTTTACACTTAAAGCACATATCTCGGACTAGCCACATTTCAAGTGCTCAGTAGTCCCATGTGGCTAATGACCATAGTATTGGACAACTCTATTTAGACCGAGGACTAGTTATAGGAATGAATCTAGTGTCAGTGTACTCTAGAGACAGACTACAAAAAGAAATTACTGACTTTTGTAGGTCTTCTATGTGTTAGGAACCCCGTACTAAGATGTGTTACATGTTGCTTCATTTGTTTCTTGAAAAAAAACCTTATATAGTGGACACCCATTGTAAAGATTTAAGAAACAATCTCAGGGAATCTAAAGGGACTAAAATTACATTTTGATTAAAGTCAATGTTGAAATTTAATCCACTATCTTTGAATTTACTAATTTTTTTTCAAGGCTGTTTATGCTTTAAAAAGGCACTTCTGTATTTTTAAAACTGATTTTTGCCTAAAGGATTTGAATCCAGAAAAAAAAGTAAATGAAAACAAGTATTTCACATGGTAAACAGATTGTCTCATGGAAATGTAAGGAGTATCTCAGGTGTAAGATTACTACATTCTAAGTAGTTTTAGCTGATATAAATCATAAACCACTGGTGAATGCTTTCTGTTTCTTTTAAATTTCAGTTTTTGAGCAGCCTGAGAGAGTTTCCTAGAAAATTTGACATCTGGGTTTTTGAGATGTTTGGTCCTCTATAGGGATGAGGCCTATATCTCTTCTTCTGCAGGCTAAGAAGAGACAACAGCACATGTGTAGGTAATGCATTAGAATCTCCAAACGCTGGGGGCTGCTTCTCTCTACGTGGACCACATTTTGATTGATTGGTTTTGTTATGAGATGAAACAGCAGGGTACTCAGAGAAGAATTTACCTGAGAACTATTTCTCCTATTTTCCATTTTCTTGAGATGGAGTTTTGCTCTTCTTGCCCAGGCTGGAGAGCAATGATGTAATCTTGGCTTATTACAGCCCCCGCCTCATGGGTTCAAGTGATTCTCCTGCCTCAGCGTCCTGTGTAGCTGGGATTACAGGTGTTTGCCACCATGCCCGGCTAATTTTTGTATTTTTAGTAGAGACGGGGTTTCACCATGTTGGCCAGGCTGGTCTTGAACTCCTGACCTCAGGCGATCCGCCCACCTCGGCCTCCCAAAGTGCTGGGATTACAGGCATGAGCCACTGCGTCCTGCCTTATTTTATTTTAAATTGCTGAATAATATACAGGATATGTGAAGTATTCCGAGTGGTTCTGTATTGTGGAGCTGGCATGGCTCTCTTGGTGTTGAGAGTAGGCAACAGAAGATTTGCGGATACCTGGCAGCACAATCTCTGCATAGCTGATTAGTCTGAGGAACTAAGGGATATGCCTTTGATTGTTTTACTTAGGGCTGAAACCATGGGCTCAGGATGACATCCAGTTCCAATCTTTATTTAACTTAAAGGCAATGCTGAGGGCTAAATGTCTCTAATTCTTATGGAAACATAGAAAACAAACATGATTTTTGTTTTTATTTATTTATTTATTTTTGAAATGGAGTTTCATTCTTCTTGCCCACGCTGCAGTGCAATGGCACAATTTGGGCTCACTGTAACCTTCACCTCCGGGTTCAAGCGATTCTCCTGCCTCAGCCTCCCAAGTAGCTGGGATTACAGGCAAGGGCCACTACTCCAGGCTAATTTAGTATTTTTAGTAGAGATGAGGTATCTCCATGTTGGTTGGGCTCGTCTGGAACTCCTGACCTCAGGTGATCCACCTGCCTCGGCCTCCCAAAGTTCTGGGATTATAGGTGTGAGCCACTGTGCCCAGCACAGACATGATTTTTAAACTGAAAGGCTTTGCTGATAAAATCTCTATCAGCAGTAAGAGGGAACATACACAAATAAGCATGATACAAGGATATGATTGTATTTGTAAATAGAATTGTGAGTAAACACCTGAAGATATATTAAGAGGTGTCAGTTCTTTCTGGCAGGCTTCTTGGAGATGCCATTTTTGCTGCTGTAGCATATTTTAGACTGAGATGAAGGGTAGCCATGACGAGCATTCTGAGTTAAGAACATAGCATGGTGGATCAGGAAAAAAGCAGGCTCAGGAAAATAGTCCAGTTTGATCATAATAGGGGGGTAACCAATATGGGATATTGGTGGAGGAAGCAAGAGAAAAATGAAACAACTTTTTATTCCTACAATCCTGCTAACTTTTATTCCTGCTCTCTCTTTTTTTTTTTTTTTTTTTTAGACAGAGTTTTGCTCTTGCTGCCCAGGCTGGAGTGCAATGGTGCGATCTTGGGCTCACCACAACCTCTGCCTCCTAGGTTCAAGTGATTCTCCTGCCTCAGCCTCCTGAGTAGCTGGTATTATAGGCATGCACCAACACGCCCAGCTAAGTTTTTTGTATTTTTAGTAGAGACGGGGTTTCTCCATGTTGGTCTGGAACTCCTGACCTCGGGTGATCCGCCTCCCTCAGCCTCCCAAAGTGCTGGCATTATGGGCGTGAGCCACCATGCTCGGCTAGTCCTACTCATAAGCAGGATGTACATTTTTACATATAAATGACAACAGAGTTCATACTTTAAATTATCTTTATAATATCATGGTCTGTGAAGGAAGTGAAAATGAAAGGTGACAACACGGTAGAAGGAAAAAAGGAGGGGACATGTAGCTCCCAACAGGGGATACAGTGGACACACATATTAACAGCCTCCTCATTGCCAGTAGCCTGGCAATATATTTCATAGGCCATGTTTCAGGTTCAGGTGCTCCCTGAGCTATAGCCCTTCCCTCTGACTTTCATGTTGTGTGCCAATGTGTTATGTACTGATTCCTGGCATTTGTACTGGTCCTGTTTTCTGCTTAGAATGGACCCCTCCTACCCTACCTGACTGGGACATTGACCCTCTCTAGCTTTGGCTGTTAATCACAAAATGGCAAACCTTTCATCTGCTCATAGATATGTGAAGCTGGCCATTCACTTGCTCTAGTTTTTATTTTTGGGTAGATCCTAAGGAGCAATGAAGTCAATAAATTGGGAATGGTGTGTTTATTTAGGGAGATGAAATCCTGTATATGAATATACTTGTTTTGCTAAACACTACCTTTTTTTTTGAGATCAAGTCTCACTCTGTTGCCCAGGCTGGAGTGCAGTGGCACGATCTCAGCTCACTGCAATCTCTGCCTCCTGGGTTTAAGCAGTTCTGCCTCAGCCTCAGGAGTAGCTGGGATTACAGACACCCGCCACCATGCCCAGCTAATTTGTGTATTTTTAGTAGAGACAGAGTTACAACATGTTGGCCAGGCTCGTCTTGAACTCCTGACCTCAAGCAATCCACCCACTTCGCCTCCCAAAGTGCTGGGATTATAGGTGTGAGCCACTGTGCCTGGCCCAGCACTGCCATTTTAATCTACTTTTTTTGCTCACATTATAATTCAACTTCTTAAAGGTATGCGTTTGCATGGTCTTTATTGGTATTGCTGTTAACCTTGTGTATATGCTAAATTCTAGTAAATCCCAGATTACAAGAATTAAAGAGCATAATCTAACTATGAAGATCAATCACCTTTTGTACACTTTAGTCTATATTCACTACTGCCCTCTGGTGATGATTTTGTATTTCTTCATTAGAACTTTACAATTTTTTTTTTTTTTTTGAGATGGAGTCTCTGATGCCCAGGCTGGAGTGCAGTGGCATGATCTCAGTTCACTGCAACCTCTGCCTCCTGGGTTAAAGTGATTCTCCTTCCTCAGCCTCCTGAGTAGCTGGGACTACTATCACGCCTGGCTAATTTTTGTATTTATTTATATATTTTTTATAAGATGGGGTTTCACCATGATGGCCAGGCTGATCTTGAACTCCTGACCTCAGGTGATCCACCCACCTCGGCCTCCCAAAGTGCTAGGATTACAGGTGTGAGCCACCGCGCCCGGCCAATTTTTGTATTTTTTAGTAGAAATCGGGTTTTGCCATATTGGACAGGCTGGTCTTGAACTCCTGACCTCATGATCCGCCCACCTCAGCCTCCCAAAGTGCTGGGATTACAAGTGTGAGCCACCACACCCATCCTAAACAAAAAATTTTAATGAAAATTCTCATTTTGTGTTGCCTATTGCTAATTTGTATACTCTGGTACTCAGTTTCATCAATCAAATGGTAATTTATCCAGACCAGGCTCAGTGGCCCATGCCTGTAATCCCAGCACTTTGCAAGGCCAAGGCATGTGGATCACCTGAGGTCAGGAGTTTGAGACCAGCCTGGTCAATATGGCGAAACCCTGTCTCTACTAAAATACAAAAATTAGCTGGGTGTGGTGGTGGGTGCCTATAATCCCAGCTACTTGTGAGGCTGAGGCAGGAGAATGACTTGAAC